ATATATATATATATATATTATATTTTATTTAAATTCATTTTTGCTAAATTTAAATATTTAAACTTACTTTCTTAAAAGCACCCACATGGGTCTTTCTTTGTGCGCCAATTGTGTCTCCATTAGGTTAATCTTGTTTTGCAGCTGCCACCTACTGGATTAAAAGTCAGGATTATTAGATTGGGTGATGGCCTAATCTGCCGACCCATCATCCCACCCATGCATGCGCTAGCACTTCGCTTTTCAATTTTATATCTTCTTCATAATTCGTAGTCTGACTCGTACGCCACTCCAGCTTTGTCTTCTTCTCCCCGTCGTCTGCCACTTCTTCTCATTCCTATTTGTATAACACGAAACTCATTACTAAAATTAATTGAACCAAATTCAGTCACATGCTTGATTTGGTTTCCATTTTTAAGATTAAATGCATTGAACTGGCTCCTCAAATTTCAACTTATTTTGTTCATGAGTGCAAATAAATATATTAAAATACTTATTTATTTATAGAAATAGATTGAATTTGATTATGTAAAAATATATATTTAGGAGGGAGAGTCTTGCACCCTAATATGATTAGTTCAAATAGTAAAATGAACGAGAGTATGTGTAATAAAAATTTTATAAAAAAATTGAACTTATTTTTTTAATTCAAAATTTATATATAAAAAGAAGAAAGACAAAAGAAAGAGAAGAGAGAGTGGATTAAAAGTTAAATTTTTTTACTTTTGGATAAAATTTATATTTTATAACTTGAAAAAGATATTCATTAACAGCATATTTTATTCTTTATATTTTTTTTATTTTAATTACACAGTTCAACCATTGAATCAATTCTCTATCCGGTTCAATGAAGAAGCCAAATTAAGGAGCCAGTAGATAGTGGGAAAACTTTCGTGCAGGATGTTGACACCTCTCTCTCTCTCTCTCTCTCTCTCTCTGACACACACACACACACACACATCATGCTCGTGAACATAAATTGCAGCCATTAAAACAACCAAAATCTCTCAGCCTTTTGCAAGTTTGGCATTTATGCATCATCTGTCACACCACTTATTCACATCGTATTTTTTTGTTATTGAAGTTTTTAAGTCACTTACTCTGCCCAGCTTTCAGGATGATGGTTCTGTCCCGAAATTATTCAGGCGTGGCCAACATTGACCTAACTATAGTTATTACTTTTTATTGGATTTTAATTCTTATCATAACAATAAAATATTTACAAAAATTTATTTAAAAATTTTAAAAAAATTAACTCTTAATTTACTCTTTTTTCTCCTTCACCTTAAACTTCTAATATATCAGAGATATAAACTTAGATTAAAAAATAAGACTAAATTAATGTGCATATTGAATTATTAAAATCATATAATTTAACAATAACTATCAAATAAGAATCAATAAAAAAATTTGTACACTTAGTAATTTATATTGAAATTATACAATTTAATTTAAGTATTGTACTATTTGAAAAAAAATAATCTTACAAATTAGTGGAAAACACAATTTAGTATTTGGCTCATTTTTTTGTAATTTTTGTTTTTCTTTTTTGGTGAAACCAAGAGGATGATAATTTTGACTCAAAAATAATTTCTTTCAAGTTAAAAACGTAAAAAATTAAAACTTCCTCTAACAAATGTACTTTTAGAAGATAAAATTTGTATTCACTTTTCTTAGAATGGAAACTACTTATTACCTTGACTAATACTATTAATTTATTTTTAATATTTTGTTGTCATTGTAATTGGTAATTTTTGTTCTGTGCTTGTTATTTTCTGATAGCGAAAAGAGAAATAATGGAACCATGTCAATAGTCGAAGCCACACTCTGGGGAAAGAGACATGCAAAGAAAAGTAGCAAAATCCAAACAGCCACCACAAATATACGCGTGAAGCGGAAGCCTTTGAAATTTATTCACTTGAACATGATTGATAAATACTCTCTCTCTCTACTTCAATCTACACAGGAGATATACCGGAGACGAGGGAAAGTAAGGAACAAGATGTGTATGGTTGTTGCCGCGTGGGCTTATCTCTGTCTGAGAACATCTCACTTAGTTGTAAAGATATATGATATATGGTGGTGGTGGTGGCGGTGGAATAATCAAATTGTTTACTAAAATATTCCAATACCTTATATTCTTTCACTTGCCACTCCCCTCCACAACTAGAACCACTTCTATTTATACACTGTGCTTGGATTCGCTTGTTTGATTTCACCGACTTTTCCACCGTAAAAACCCTTCTTTTCAAACACCACCTAATTCTTCTTTGTTGTATGTGTGCATGCGAGCACAAGTAGGTTTACGTGTGAATAGTGGGGGTAGCACATTCGCTTCGTACAAGCATAGGTCTCTAGCTATTCTCTAGAGATGCTTGTCTGCCATCTCAGGAATGTTATCTGGCCACGAACGGGACGGGTTGCACACACTTATTTACCTCTAATTTTTTTATATTCACAAGTTTAATTATGGAATTATAAATGTGTTTTTCAATTATTAAAAAAACTAGAAATTGCACGGATTCTCAGTCTCCAAATTTTCTAAATTACTATATGTAGGATTTTTTGAGATTCAATCTCTTGTATATAAAATGATTTTTCTTTATAAATAATTTTTTCCCTCAAATCACGTATATCAGGTGTTTTTATTTTATTTTTTTATTATATATCACAATATATGATAAAAAAATTAATAAATATTCGTATATATTTAGTTGGTAAATTTATACGAATAATTAAAAAGTAAAATAGCAAGGTTTTGTTTTTTGAGATTTCAGTAAATCTTAGGAATTGAAGTACAATGATTCATGGAAGTGTAATTTTGGTGAATCAAAGGGAGATTTGCGTAAATTTGATACCTAAATTTGGCATCTGAAAGTCTGTGGAGACAGGTGTTTGATGGGTCGGTAAACCTTTTAATTAATAATAAATGAATGAATAGATAAAAATCAGTATCTAGCGGCACAATTAATTAATTTAATAATTTTCCAAATCCAAGTGCAAATGATTTAATAATAACAAAATACTCCTGACACCTAACCCTAATTCTAACTTTTCTTAGTTATAAGTTATAATAAAAATCAAATCATATCTAATATCTTTCTCCAACCCCTAACCATAATCTTTAGGTCTCAAATATTTTGAATTATCTCTAACACCTATATACTTGTTATTCGTTATTTTTATAAATGCTTAAATAAAAGATAAAATAATTTAAGTGCCAAAAAAATAAATTTTAAATAAAATTAAAAGTTGCCTCAAATAAAGAGCATGCTCCCCAAGTCAAAAAAAATCATCTTTTGCTGTTTGATAAATTTTGAATTTTCTCCAATTTTGGAAATTTTGCAATATACTCGAAAGATTTTTTATCTCATTGATTAATTTCAAGTCATAATTTTAAATTACATATATCTTTAAAGAGAATGAATCAATTAACACCAGGTGTAAATATAAAAAACTTATACCACATCTTACAGTATTGATTTGATCAAAATCAACGGTATAAATTAATTATAACTGTCTTTCACTAATTTTTAATAATTAATTTGTAATTAAATCAGTTATAATTAATTTACACTATTGATTTTGACTAAATTAATAGTATAAATTATGGTATAAGTTTTTAAACTTACACTAAATATCAACTCTTTGACACGAGATCCACGTTACTACTTGAGAGAGAGAGAGAGAGAGAGAGAGAGAGAGAGAGAGAGAGAGAGAGAGAGAGAGAGAGAGAGGAACTCTCAGCCTCTAAAATCTATCTCCTCCGCCTATCCAGTAGTTGAGATGTCATAATTTGAGAATTAGTATATTCTATCTACATAAATAATTTATTGGTATAAATCAATCCAAAACAATAAATAAAATAAAATAAAATAATAATTTATATAAAACCCAAACTTGTGAAGTAAAATTTGGCTGCTTGCAGATGCTAGGAAATGAATATTAGACTCGTCTGGACTTCCAATTTGACTCGCCGACGTTGATTCCATTGCTTCGTAAATCGCACGCAGACCCGGGTCCGGAAAGCGCGCCGCCCGGAATTGTCCGGCTGTGTCCGAATATTCCAAGTATCTGGTTGTTAGGAGGGAGGGAGGGTTTCCCACAGAGTACATTTTACGAGAACCTAATTCCATGATCCATCCACACACAAACATGCTCCCCCGCATATTCCCTCATATTCCCGCCGAGTTTCCCCTTTCCGAATCCAACCGGCCATATTGTGTTTTTAATGTTTTTAGCAACACGTGAGGTTTGACAACTCATCGTTGATCTGGTCTCTGGTCTTATTAAACCCATTTGTTTACAAGACCACTGGTTAAAATAAGTGGTCTTGTAGGATTTATATAAAATTATTTTGTCATATTTAACCCATTTGTTTCTTATTAATCAAATTTTTCTAAATATAATTAGATAAATAATAAATTACATTAACTAATTGATCATCCAAGATTTGTATTTCTAGTATTTGTAGATAAACGTTAATCTAGATCATTCATCAAGGATCTGGGGGTCATGATGATGTCAGCTGTTAACTTTTTTCATTGAAAGAGAAAAGGTCGATTTAAAATTAAATGTTTAGCCTCTGAAAAAGGAAAAGATTGGCTTATGCAATCTTGCAATCTAGGTGCTCTATTTTTTTCGTTACAAAAATTTAGAGGATTTTAATTATTACGTTGAGATAATAGTTAATAAAGAATTAATAATTATTTTTTAATTAATAAAGATCAACTTCCGAAAGGTACACAAATTTTAAGAGAGGCCAAGTCCAAATCAAATAGACTTTGAGTGGCCTTCCTTCGGCTTACCACAAACTCGTCCGGGTAATATTCCATTGGAATCTTCCAAACTTCACAGCGAAATGGTTGGGCGTCGCGTTTCCCTCCTCCTATAGGCTATATATAAACAACTCCAGCAGAGCCTTCAAAGCAAACGACAGCTAGTGTTCTGTTCCTGTTCTAAATCTCTCTCTTGTTTTCCGTGAGGAAAACCCTGTTTGGTAGCCGAGAAAATTCCCAATGGCCGGAATCGTGGTGGTTTTCGACTTTGATAAGACCATTATCGACCTTGACAGCGACAACTGGGTGGTCGACGAGTTGGGCGCCACCGATTTGTTCAATCAGCTCCTTCCCACCATGCCCTGGAACACCCTCATGGTAGTTTTTCTCTCCTGTTTCTCTGTTTCATTGTGTATGTGCATACATTATATGATTTTGTTTATTCGGGAAACTATTTTGCATTACGTTACTGAGAATCAATGCAATGCTGAAGCTCTTTTTTTTTTTTCTCATGAAACAGGATAGGATGATGAAGGAGCTTCATTCGCAGGGGAAAAGCATTGAAGACGTAGCGGAGGTGCTAAAACGGGCCCCAATTCATCCCCGGATAGTGCCTGCCATTAAAGCAGCTCACGCCATGGGGTACTTCTCTTGCACCGTGTTTGTGTGATATTCTATTAAGTTTTCTTTCCTCTGTTCTTGTCTTCCCGGAAATTAGTTTCACTCGAGGCGCGGCTTACAATTACAGGTGCGATCTGAGGATACTGAGCGACGCGAATCTCTTCTTCATTGAGACGATTGTGGAGCATCTCGGCATTAAGGATTGTTTCTCTGAGATTAACACGAACCCGACCCGCGTGGATGAAGAAGGGAGGCTCAGGATCTTCCCTTACCATGATTTCCATTCTTCTCCCCATGGATGCGATCTCTGCCCTCCCAACATGTGCAAGGTATCATTGTAATTTACTTTTCAGTAATCTTTCCTTAATCTCCGGCATCAGTTTTTAGGGATTATGTCTTAGCGTTTAAGGCGCTGAAGTTTTTATTTTTCCCCTTTTTTTTTGAGAACCTAGTTTTAATAATTCTTTTCGTCTTTTGTGATTTTTTTTATAAATTCAAATACAGCACACGTCAAAGAGAAAAAATTTAAAATATTTATTTAAAAACTTCTTTATATTATATTTTGAATTTATTTGAGTTAAACAAAAAATTAATTTTTTAACAAATATAAAAAAGATTACTATTAGTAAGAATTTTGGTTTCATAATAAAAAGAAAAATTGAAAGTCTTAAATAGGAGCAAACCAAATACCCCCTTAATTAGATTCCTCAATTTTGGTCGGAGAAAACCAGAAAAACCCAGAACTCAAAAGCCCAGAGTTCTTTTTTTACCCCCTTTTAGACAAAAAAAAAATACCAAAATTATTGAATAGAATATTTGTCCCGTTCAAAAAATAATATAGGAACTCTGGGTCGGGTCTGAAATCCGGGCAGACATTCTATACACTCAAAAATAATTGGAACTTAATTAGTAATTATAGAGTTAGACATGTGTAGAGAAATCTGGAGTTGGGTTCCTTCAGAAGAACGTTCTGTTGAGTGAGAGTGCTTTCAGAGCCCGGGTTCTAGAAGGATGCGGCAGGGGATCCGAATATGCGGGAATGCTTATTCCTTTTTTTATTAGCGGCAAAAAGATATTTGTCTAACCTAGTAATATGTTGTTTCCTGATCAGGGCCTTATAATAGAGAGAATACAGGCTTCTGCATATGCAGAGGGCAAGAAGAAATTCATCTATCTGGGAGATGGAAGCGGGGACTTTTGCCCCAGCCTGAAGCTAGGAGAAGGCGACTACGTCATGCCAAGGAAGAACTACCCTCTCTGGGATTTGATTTGCAAGAATCGCGATCTTGTCAAGGCAGAAATTCACGAATGGAGCGACGGGGAAGAGCTGGAGCGCGTCCTCCTCTGCCTCATTAACATGGCTTCCATGGAGGAGAACAGCAGCAAGTTGTTCTCTGTTGACTGTAAGTTTGAGACCATTCCCACGGCTGGCCACGAAGCGCTGCCCGCTCTCTCAGTCCCACACTAATTTTTGTAAATTGGGACGTCCAATTATTGGCAAAGTTGTCTGATTTTTCATTTTATCCCTTCCCCTTTTTCCCTGTTTTCTCTTCGCTTTAAATTCTAAAAGAGGAATACTAAGTTTCTGACTTGTTGATCAAAGAAAAAATTGAATCAACACGCGATATAGAAAGTAATTGTATTTTATAACTTTGTTATGGGTGAGCACGGGTGGGTTCGTGCGAGTTTATGATAAAAAATTAATTCGATCTGACAAGGGCGGTAACAAAAAAATAAATTCAAACTTACCTAATTATCGTTATAAACTATGCAGTTCAGCTTGATTAAATATGAGCGGATTGACGTGTTAAAAATTAATTAACAATAGCGGGTGACAAAAAAATAAAACAAACTAATTATTTTATCTGTGCATCGAGTAAAGTAAATTATTTGTATTATGTTAATTAATAACAATTCAAAGATAAAACAAACTAATGCTTTTCTCGTCATCAGTAAAGTAAACTATTCTATTGATTTGATACAGCAGATTCAATAGTTAATCAATTAGATAGCAAGCAATCAGATTTTAATACAGCAGTTAATAGTTACAATTAGCAGTCAATTAGAGAGTAACAATTAAAAGTAATACAACAATTAATAGTTATAGGTTACAACCACACTTAGCAATGCAATTCTGTTTGTTTTAGCATGCAAGTTTACATTTCCTATATATGTGAACCTCCTATTCTCTCTTGTCCCAAATGCAGAACTTATAAATTATAAAATTTGCTTCACCAAGCTCAACTAGGAGCAACAAGCAACAAGACAGTTTCTTACTAGAAGTCTAAGTAATGTACTAAAAGTTTCTACGTAAAAGTATGTGAAAGTTGTTCATTTATGAACACATGCAAAGTATGGCCAGTTGTCTACATTGTCATTGTGGGAAGTTCACCACCCTGCAAGAAGGATTCAGATGCACTGATATTAACACTATAAAAATGATAGGAAGAAATTAAAATCATACATGAAAAAATATTGAAACTTGCACTAGTATCATTGAACAATTCTTGTTAGATCATATGCTTTCCTCGTTTCAAGTAAGTTGGAAGAAATTATCAATTTATCATCTATCCAATTCACATAGATTGTAAAATATTTCTACAAGGTCACTAATCTAAGTCAGGGTTTATCATATCCTTCAAAGTTTCCTTTTATTTACTGTAATTATAAAAGCAGATACAAGACTGATTTACTCCCCTAGCAATGAGAAAATACTTATGATTATTATAATTGCAGTGGCTAGCAGCAGATGGGCAATGGGAAATAAATCAAAAGAAAAAGAACGGTATATTAAGTTAGTAACCTTTTTTTCTCCCAAAAAAGGGTCCTCTTAACCATGTGATACGACGGTTGAACACCAAAATTTAACATGCTTAAGCTGTACCTCAAAGTCATGCGTGGTTAGAATTACCCAGCCCTATCCATACAGAAATTACTTAAGTTGCATTCATCCAATAATTAATAAAGTTTGAAGGAAACAAATAAATTAAATCTTCTTAAAAATTCTTCATGCAATATCTTTCTAAGAATTTGTAAGGGAGAAGGGATGAGTTGCAATGAGAAAAGCATTATAGCAAAAGTTAGGCATGATAAGGTATAATAATGTTCAATGAAACAACGGAATTCACAGCAACAATCTTAATGTATATGGCAAGTATGCGACATATCAACATTTTTAAATCTTGTGAAAACACTTCATAAACTCCAAATGGCCCAACTCCTAAACTCCTATGCAAAACGATATATTTTAGCTCTTCTATTATCATATATATTATCTTATAACCCTTCTACTAGCTGCTGTTATAGGGTATACTTCTTTTGCTACACATGAATCAAGGGTGTTTAGACATTTTACTGTCACTCTGTCACTAAATTTCACTTTATTTTACAATAGGATCTTTTTTTTTTCTTCCATTTCTATAAAAAATTAAACACTATACTCGTTGCACCTACACTGTTACACTCTACTGCACGTGTAGAAAATTACAAAAAAACTCTTACATGAGAGTTGTCACCTCGTTTAACTTCCAAGAAAATTAAAATGTCTCCTTTTTGGTAAACTAAAGAAAACTATTGTCAGTTCATTGGCATCTCTAGAACAGATGACTCACACCTTCATGAATTTGTTAATACTACATAATCACTTCAATTAACCTGTGCCGATTGTTGCGCCCCGCAAGTTTCCATTGGTTTGTTTCGCCTTGTGCCTCCCCATGATAAAGAAGATTGTGCCAACAAACTGAATCATGACCTACTGGATGTTGTTAACACAATTGGGAAATTATTCATTTCTCACACAGTATGTGTCACACCCTACCTTGTAACTTGAGCGAGACGTGACAATAGAACAGGTTTAGCAACCTCCGTTACCCGGGATTTATCGGAAAGAGCCAAACCTTATTCGACTATCGTACATACTGAGTCAGCTTATATAACTCATATTCAAAAACTAAATAACATAACATAACTAGAGAATTAAGTCATTAACATAACTAAAAAACATAATTACTTTATGTAACTTCTCTTTTCAAAATAAAATCTATATATAATACAACTATTCAACTTTCACTCCCCAAGCAACAACCCAAACCAATTACTATTAACATAAGTAGGGCCCAATCTCTCTAGACTCGAAATGCTGCTGTGCTGGATGCACGTGATGCACCTATAAGTCTCTACTGTTGACCTGAAAAAAAATAAATAAGTGGTGAGACTTGCATCTAGTGAATGGTCTTCTAATTAAAACTAGTGAAATAGGAATATATGACATAATACTGTAAATAAAAGTAGTTCGTGAAACTGACATAACTGATATAAAATATCATATCGTGAGTTATCAATCACTAATCATAATTTAAAAATAAGGCTAATTCACCCGTTAAGCCTGAGATCCAACCATAGCAAAAATGTCGTAAATGAGCTAAGGATGGAAGTAAAAACATAACGGCTCCATAAATAAATATAAGGTTTGACGTGCACGTAAACATAACCATAACATAATAAAAATTCACTGGGTATTACTGGTTATGAGACTCGTTCCATAGGACACTACCCCCATGGACGAACACACATAGCTTGTTGGTGTCGTAAAGCCCCACGGACAAATAAATCATATAGTACTGCCACACTAACATGGCTATTCAGCGAATTATCCAGGTGAATTGCAAACATTCACATATATAACATACGGCATAAAACTGAGATTCCTGTTTCCATTTTACATAACAAAATAATCATAACATATAAATAAATAAAAACATTTCAAAAGTAAAACTTTTGGTTTTAAAAATAAAACGTTTATTTGTAAGAAAATATTAATTTTGTTATTTTAGAAAAATACTGAATTTAGAAAAAAGACTACTCACCTCTGCCGATATTTGTATGCCCAAACTCAGTCCTATTGGGCCTCACTAACTGGCCGATATATTTCTCCTAAGATGTAACCACATACGCTATCAATAACATGTCAAAATTGTGTATGAATGCATGAATATACTAATGTATACATGAGATGTATTCCTAATTAAGCTGTTTTCTACCCTTTTTATTTGTGATCAAAATTTTTACTACACACGTATTTTGAAAATTTTCAAAATATTATTATATACTCACTGCCAAGTTATGTATATTAGGATATGCTCACATTCACAAAAGGAATATAGTTATTTTTTTTATGAAAAATAATTTATAGGTGGGTCGGTGGACTTCTAAATTGAGTTTTGTCAAATTCTAATGTCAACTTAGCCTTATTTTTACTAAACTAACTAAGTTACTAGTAAAATTAATGTGAATTAATTAAATAAAAAGATTAATTTAAACTGGTAGAATTTATTTCCTAATATCATGAAAATAGTATTTAAACCAAAAATCTAAACTGATTAAAATGATCTAAAATATAACTAAATTGAGAATAATAAAAATTTCCTTTAAGAACTCACCTGAAAATCATACGGAAATTCGTCGACTGAACTTGGTTGCCGCCTTCCGTTCTCTTCTCTCTCGGTTCCCATTCTCCTCTCTCTCGGTTTAACTTCTCTCTCTCTCTCTCTCTCTCTCTCTCTTTTCTCTTCTCTACCTCTTCCTTTCATCTCTTTCTTTTCTATTTCTTTCTTCTTCTTTTCTTTCTTTTCTTCTTTTATTTATCCTTTTCTTTCTTTATTCTCTCCTTTTCTTCCACCAAAGTACTTTCCCATGGACAAGTGGGGAACATACAACCCCACCAAATTATAACTCTCTCTCTCTTCTTTCTTTTTTTTTCTTTTTTTTACTATTATTTTTATTATTATTTATTTTATTATTATTATTTTTATTATTTTTTTACACTAAATTTAAGCTGTTAATAATCTCACTAATTATACTTACACAAAATAAAATATAAAACATATAATGAGGGCTTTGGGTTGGGATGTTACAATCAACCCCCTTAAAGAACTTCGTCTCCGAAATTTAGCTATAATTGTGAAGGAAACAGATTGGGATATTTTTATTTTTTTTCTTATATCTTCCTCCCGTTCCCAAGTCATCTCTTTTTGATTTTGATTTCTTCATAAAACTTTTACTAGTGGAACTTTTTTAGACCATAACTGTTTTACTTTTCGAGTCAAAATCTGTATAAGATGTTCCTCATAAGACAAATCTTCTTTAAGATCTACTGGTTGGGATTGTAGAACATGAGAAAGATCTGATATACATGCTTTCTAAGGGAAACATGCAAAATGTTATAGATATTTGACAATTCTGGTGGTAATGTCAATCTGTAAGCAACTAGCCCAATTCTTTCTGTCACCTTATAAGGTTCAATATACTTTGGGGACAATTTCCTTTTCTTGCCAAACCTTAATATACACTCTATGGGGGTACTTTTAAAAATACCTTATCTCCAATCTCAAAGTTAATATACCTATATTTTGGGTCAAAATAACTTTTCTATTTGTTATGGGTTGTCTTCAATTGGTCTCTTATTAATTT